CTTGTCCACAGGAAATGTCTCACAGGGGGTGATTGAATCCAGCCTCCAGTGAGTGAGCTATTTAACTCTTTTGCACCTCCAAATGAGGTCATCAAACTGTGACCTGATTGATAGGCTAGACTCCACCCCTTCACAAGTTGACAGATTATGTAACTGCCACACCAGTCTATAAATTCCTCTTCAGACTCACACAACACATGCAACTAATGCAGGAAGATCACAGGCCAGTGGGTGGAAAGTCATGTGGATCCAGTGGTGGTGGGAGCATCTCAGTGCTGGCATGGGTCTCCACGTGGCTCCTCTAGTTCCAGGGCTCTGCTCTATCAGCATAGCTCCATGTGGCTTGTCAGTAGGAAGATAAAGCAGAGAGTCTTTGGCCCCCAGTGAGCTACTTATCTCCTTTGTGCTGCCAAATTAGGTCATAAAGCTGCGACCTGATTCACAGCTTAGACTCCACCCCTTTGCAAGTTGACAGATGATGTCACTGCCAGAGTCCTATAACTTGCCAAAGAATGTTTCCAGGACTTATGTGAATACATATCTCATGAGTACCTATCTATGTGGATACATACACCAACCAGAGTGGTTGAGTGGCTGCAGCAATGACCTCAGGCCTAAGAACAACTGTGAGCATGGTGACACAGGAGAGTGCAGTGCTTCATTCTGTTGTGCATAAGGTCACTATGAGTCAGAACAGACTGATGCCACTAACAACATGTGTATACGAATAATCACGTGTTCTGTGTATGACCAGAGAAGCCGGAGTCTATGAAGAAGAATGTGGCATCACATTGGAGACAGGCTTACTAACAACCTGTGATGTGCAGGTGACACAACCCTGCTGCTGGATGTGAGAATGTGGAGCTGATGAAGATCAAGGATGGAAGCTAAGTATGAAGTGCCATCCATCCATATGAAGAAAATAAAAATTGTTACAACCCGTCCTATAAGCAAATGGGAAAATATTGATAATGTCAAAGTTTTCTGTTTCCCTTGGACCAGTACTTATGAAAGGAGCAGTCAAGGGGAAAAAATACATTGCGTTGGGTAAAACTACTCTACAAGACATCTTTCGAGTACTGAAAACCTCAGATGTTATTTTGAGGACCAAGGTAAAGCTGATCCGAGATACGGTATTTTCAATGGTATCATATGCAAGTGAAAGTTGCATATTGAATAAGGAAGAGCCAAGAATCGATGCATTTCAATTGTGGTACAGGTGAAGACACTGAGAGTACCACAGGCTGCCAGAAAGGCAAACAGACAAGTCTCCGAAGAAGTACGGTCAGAGTGCTCCTTAGAGGCACAGGTGACAAGATTCTGTCTTACATACTTTGGACATGTTGTCAGGGCATAGCAGTTCCTGGAGAAGGACATCATGCTTGGTAAAGGAGAGGGTCAGCAAAAGAGGTAGAGGTCCTCAATCAGATGGATTGATACAGTGACAGCAGCAATGGCCTAAGCATAGTATTAGGAAGAAAGCACAGGATGGGCAGTGTTTCATTCTCGTGCTACTGGATATGGCATATTGCATATTGGGTATGGGTCAATGGTACCCTATAGCAACATGTGAATACATAATTCTAGCTTTCATGCAAGGTGAAAAAAAATGGCACTTTACTGCCATTCTTTATAGGATGTTTATACTGTAAGGATGCCAGGAAGTGTGGTTTGTCAGGAACGTTTGACGTCCATATGTCTAGGAGACTTAATGAGTGCCTTGCCTTACCATTTTCAAAATACTCCAAAAGTTATCTTAGTCATATTGGATGTCTACTGGCAGCACTACTGGTTTCTCCATTTCATGTGGGCTTAAATTCTAAAGCTCTTGGTTGAGAAAACCTGCCATCCATTTTTGGAGGAAGCCTTAACTTCCTTTTGAATGCTCACTTAAGATGACAATTATCTGTGATGATCCCTAAGCTTTAAGAACATATATTTCAAATCCATTTTATTGAGAGCTAATATGGATATACCACTCCATAGTTCAATCACATCAAGCAGTACTGTGCAATTGTTACCACAATCAATTTCAGACCATTTTACCCCCTTGTTGAAGTCCTTCATATCAGCTCCCCATTAACCCAATGGCCCAAGTACCCCCCCCCACCCCAAACCCTGACTCAATTCTTGTCTCTATATTGCAGAACACTTACATGCAGCCGAGTTACTATGCTTACATACCAGTCTAAGTCAAACCCAGGGAGAGGATCTGTTTGTCCACAGAAAGAGTGTAATTTAGGGAGATTATGCCAAAAATTACCAAAGAATTATGGAACCTGTTTTGCATTTATGGAAAAGAGCCAAACACCCTGTGAAGCTCAGGGTCTTTCAATAATCTCTCTCAGGGGGGAGAGATTAAGGCAGCATTGTTTAAAAAATTTCTACTACAACACAGGAGAAAATATCAACCAGCATCCACCTAGCCTCTTAAAGAAGCCCTGGGAGCGGTCAGGTTAAGTGTTGGACTATTAAACTCAAAGTGGGTGGTTCAGTCCCGCAAGATGCTTCCCAGGAGACAAATGAGGTTGCGTGCTGAGTGTTCTGACTTGACAGCAATGCATTTTGGGGTCCAATAGACCTGAATGAACCAGACACACCAACAGAAGCTACCGTGAAAACCGTGTCTGAGTCACATGCATTCTATAGGTCTGTGTTCTGTGTATCAGTCACATGATTTAGGATGATGTCTTTGACCTGCTTCCAGCTATAACCAGAGGGGTTTCTAGAGAACACATTCAAATCCGGGATCGGTTTTCCCTTGCACGCCTGCAAACGAGTGTGTACTGAAGATGATCACAGCGAGAGCCATTCCTTCTCAAACCCCGCCAGCACGGGGGCCTGGGATGTTCATCAGGTTTTAACACTTTCCGCTCCCATGGCGCCCAGCCCTATTGATGTCCCCTTTGCCCAACACTGGTCTGAAGGCCTATACAAGCAAGAAGGTACATATGGAGTACTGCTGGAGCTCTCCCTGGGTCCCCGAGTCATCTTGAGATCCGAAAAGTCAAGCATGCCTGATGGACTAACATGTTCTGTCTGGCAGGCCTGCACCACCGTTAATTTCCCTCAGGCTCTCAACTGTCCCTGGAGCCATCCTGGCCACAGTGAGTTGCATCCACGTGGCCATCGAGAACAGGAGTTATGCCCTATTAGTTTGGGACGTCTCCAGAAGGTACTTTGTGCCACTCCCAAGAATTTATCCTGTCCTTTACATCAGCTCCCTGTCTACCCAAAGACCTCTCCCAGAACTGTCTGCCCGAATGCTTTGCTTGAAGAGGAGTAAAGGGAGCACGTGGGTGGAGGTGGTTTTCTTCATTTGGACAGTGGGAAAATAACTAGGGAAGCACTTTCTAGTCATACATGCTGGATCAGTATAAGGCTGTGTAAAAAAGAACTCTATCTAGGGTTTTAGTGCAAACACAGGTCTATTCCAAACACTTAAAAACGGTTTCAAAGCTGAGTTTACTGCTGAAGTCAAATCTCCCAAGAATCCACTCATCTCACTAAAGGTGTCTCTAAAACAAGGCCCAATCAAGAGTGGGAGTCTCAGGCTGGGTTCTCTAGAGACGTAAAAGCCACGTGTGTCTGTGTAGGTAGAAAGATCTCAATCAATTGTAGAAGTGGGTGAGTCCAGTCCAGTTCAAGCTTGGGAGTCAAGTTTCTAATTCATGCAGCCTTGGAGGTTCATGAACAGGAAGAAGGAAAGGAATGTAGGAAGGCCAAATGCTAATGGATTCAGATCTGAACGAATCTGCGCTCAGCCTAATAAATCTAAGGTCAGTACTATGCTGATGGCTCCAGGGATCAGCAGGTGATAGATCAGGTAGACAAACCAGATGAAGTTACCACATACAGCACGGGACAGGAACCTTGACGCACTGTGAATGAATACTAACAGGCAACAGCTGGAGTGAAACTTGCCGCATCAAGGATGTGACCATAGATGGGGGTCTGTTCTCTCTGCAACTGCTTGTCTGCTTCCTAGAAGACGCCATCATGGAGTTGATCGCTCTGTTAGATCACAGCTACTACATACGTTGGCACAAAACCTAACCCAGTGAGTCTCTAAGCACCGTGCTGCTTGAGCTCAATTCATCAGACATTAGCTCAGGTTATGGGAGTACTTTTTTAGTGTCAAAAGATTAGGCTTGCTAAAGATTGCTGAAGGGCAAAGAATGAAGAATAGTTATTAGGAATTCTATTTAAACAATTTGAAAAGCACACTGGTGAAGAAGTCCAGAATTACGCGTCAAGGAATGTCACTCATTCTTCCTATCATCTGTTCTCATCCCAGCAATGTACTTGCTCATTCAATGAAGCAGGGGCCTTCCTTTGAGAACATCATAGGTAAGTAAACCTTGCCCAATCTAGCCTTACAGTCCTGATAGGATCACTGCTGACTCATTTTTGTCCTAGGTCTGAAAGGGAACAGTCTCACTCCTTCAAAGATGTCAAACTTGTGGCACGGGAGTGAAACACATTTCTTTGGGGAAGGGTTAGAGATGAAGACCCCATGTGGAGCGCTGAGACTTTGTGGAGGATGTGCCAAGACCTTCATTTTGTTCTTTTTCTTACACAGCGGCATCTTTTCATTTTGTAGCCATACTTCTGACTTACAACCTTGACTCGGTGACGATGTTTCCTCGTGTTGTTCAATCTACAACGTTTCTTTTCTAACTTTCCCTCATTCCTTTTCTCCCATTCCATTAGGCCCAGCGAATCACTGAGGAATGTTTGGGCTCTATTCCTTGCCTATTTCTTCAAAGAGAATTCCTAGATCTCATGATCCACCGATGGAGCATGTGAAATACTGTTCCTTACACTTGATTTCATTTTTCATGTCTTTCAATCACGGTCCAGGGTCACTGTTCTCCCCCTAGCCCCTCATAAATGTCTCCATGAGCAGCCACCACCGGGACAGCCCTGTCCACCGCATGCAGCTGGGCCCTCTCCAGGTACTGCATGTCCCTGAGGCACAACAATTGGGATGCCACCTCTATTGGTAAAATGTTTAATGAAGTCAGTGCACATGTACAAAACATGAGCATGTACACACAAAACACCTGGCCCCACTCAGTTGATCAAGTGCAGACTTTACGTTGGAGACGTTAAGAGGGGGGATTTTCGCAGTTTTGAACCTTTATAGACCATTTGATGTGTGTTCCCGACAGCATATGTACTGTGTCAATTTTTAAATAGCACTTTCCCGGATGCGAGGCTAGTTATCGAAACTAGGGTTAAAAAATTTATTAACATTTATTAGGCATCATCCTAATAAAACAGCTGCATAGGGATGTGTTTACTTCTCCCAAAGGCACAAATTCTAATCAAACCTTCTTTCCTAAAGTATCTGTGCACTGTGAATTTTCATGTGCACTGAGATCAGAACAATGACAAAATGTTTTGCCACATTCCTAAGGCCTCCCCCCACTGTACAAGAGGCTGTGGTGACTGAGCATGGTTTCCAAAACCCTTAAGAGTGATAAGAGCCCCCTTCACTTGAGTTCTCGTGCATTTAGCAAGGTATGAAGACCGAGAAAATGCTTTCTTATGTTTCCACTGTGAATTACACACTGCATGAGGGATGAGGAAAGACGTTGCCACACTCCTTACATTCATAAGATCTATCAACGCTGATTTCTATGTTAAATGAAGGTTGAGGCATGACTAAAGACTTTGTAACCTTTCTTAGTTCCACAAGGTTTCTATCTACCGTAAATCCTGAATCTCCGCATGTTTGGTGAGGTGGGATGGTTGACTAAATGCTTTCCCATATAAGTGTCCTCTCCATTGTGACGTCTGAGTCTAGCAAGGGATGAGAATTACTTAAAGCCCTCACCACAATCCTTGCATTCATAAGGCCTCTGTCCACTGGGAATTCTCATGTCCAGTGAGGGATGAGCAGTAAAGCCTTTGTCATTCTTTACATTCATAAGGCCTCTCCACTGTGAATTCTCATATGTGTAGTGAGGGACGAACCGTAATTAAAGCCTGTGCCACACTCCTCACATTCATAAGGCCTTTCTCCACTGTGAATTCTCCCATGTGTAGTGAGGGATGAGAGCTGTTTAAAACCTTTGCCACACTCCTTACACAAATACGGCTGCTCTCCACTGTGAACTCTCCTATGTTCAGTGAGGGTTGAGGAGTGGGCAAAGGCTTTGCCACACACCTTACAGTCATAAGGCTTCTCTCCACTGTGTGTTCTCCTGTGTGAAAAAAGGCCTGAGTTAGCAGTGAAGGCTTTGCCACAGTCCTTACACTCATAAGGCCTCTCTCCACTGTGAGTCCTACTATGTTTGAGGAGTAATGAGGAGCAAGTAAACGCTCTGCCACACTCCTTACACTCATAAGGCTTCTCTCCACTGTGTTTTCTGCCATGTATAGTGAGGGATGAGAGGTGCTTAAAACCTTTGCCACACTCCTTACATTCATACGGCTTGTCCCCACTGTGAATTTTCCTATGTTGAGTGAGGCTTGAGGAGCGAGTAAAGGCTTTCCCACACACTTTACATTCATAAGGTTTCTCTCCACTGTGAGTTCTCCTATGTGAAAAAAGGTGTGAGTTATTAGTGAAGGCTTTGCCACAGTCCTTACACTCATAAGGCCTCTCTCCACTGTGAGTCCTACTATGTTGAAGGAGTACTGAGGAGCAAGTAAACGCTTTGCCACACTCCTTACACTCATAAGGCTTCTCTCCACTGTGTTTTCTGCCATGTGTAGTGAGGGATGAGAGATACTTAAAACCTTTGCCACACTCCTTACATTCATACGGCTTGTCCCCACTGTGAATTTTCCTATGTTGAGTGAGGCTTGAGGAATGACTAAAAGCTTTGCCACATTCGTTACATTCATAAGGCTTCTCTCCACTGTGAGTTCTCCGATGTGAAATAAGGTGTGAGTGATCAGTAAAGGCTTTGCCACAGTCCTTACACTCATAAGGCCTCTCTCCACTGTGAGTCCTACTATGTTTGAGGAGTATTGAGGAGCAAGTAAACGCTTTGCCACACTCCTTACACTCATAAGGCTTCTCTCCACTGTGTTTTCTGCCATGCATGGTGAGGGATGAGAGGTGCTTAAAACCTTTGCCACACTCCTTACATGCATAAGGCTTGTCCCCACTGTGAATCCTTCTATGTTGAGTGAGGCTTGAGGATTGAGTAAAGGCTTTGCCACATTCATTACATTCATAAGGCTTCTCTCCACTGTGTATTCTCTGATGTAAAGTAAGGCTTGAGTGATAAGTAAAGGCTTTGCCACACTCCTTACACTCATAAGGCCTCTCTCCACTGTGAGT